TATATACATATAATATACGTACATACATATATGTATACAAAACTATAAATAATGCGTTTAGAAGCGGAAACACTCATTTAGTGACCAAGCACTGTACTTAAATAATTATATAATCTACATATACATACATATGTACATGTAAAATGTGAAGCGAGTGGAGGAGCGTATGTATATTTAGTTGAATTTTATCTAGAGTTTAGCTCCTAGCTTGTCGCAACATGTAAAGTGTAATGAATGTCTTCAGCACAGTGGAGCAAAATGTGATGCTCACGGTACAAAGTGCAAAATAAAACAAAAACAACAAAAATAAAAAAATATATATTAGAAAAATCTAAATAAAATTTATAAATAATGTTTGCCTAGCCGTTTGCACATTTGTTTGGATTATTTTTTGCTGAAACTGCCAGGGCTACATTTTCTGTTAGAATATTTTCCAGCAACATTTGATTTCTTTCGGGGGCCAAAAACAAAATATATTCCAAATTCGTATGTCACAAACTTCGCGTTTATGCAGTTCTATAGAAAAAAAAAAAAACAAAAAACAAAAACAATAAGAAACGTACTGTTGTAAGTGTGTCGCAGGTGAACACACTCCTTGAGATTCTGTATGTCAAATGTTATGCAATGTGTGGTTAATAGCAGTCGATGTTAATTGTTAAAGTTTGTGGATGACAGCATATACATACATACATACATATATACATACAAACAATAAACCAATTGCACAAGCACACACACATATGCAAACTGAGAAAAAATAACATTAAAAGCAAGCAAAAACTAGCAACAAATGTATATGCAAAGTATATAAAATGAAGATAAATGTTTATAAACTAAATTAAAAAAATTAAATAAAAATAAATAAAGTAAAATATATATTATTTATATATAAACATATATAAATAGAGAATGCAGCTGTATTATGTATATGAGATGAAATGTGCAAGAATTAATTGTATAGAATTAAATAAGCTAAAACAGGCATACCTAAAATAATATTTACAGCATAAGTACATACATACATACATAATATACAGACACATACCTAAATATAATATATAATAATAACAATAATCAATATAATCTTTTGATGTTGTAGATACTATTTTAGTTAAAAAATACAAACATATATTTATTTGCAAGCATACCAATACATACGTAATGTTTATTTCAATTGATTTCACCGAGCCACACACACACACACACACATGCACACCATGCAAGCGTACTCGTAGTTTAGTATGTTTAGTTGTTTTCTTTCGAATTCTAGATACATATTTACTAGGTTTTGTAAATAAATAAAAAGTTCTATTAACTATGGTATACTCATTGCAAATGGTTTCAACTACTTTTGAATATCCGCTGTTTACCGTAAACCTGTTATACTACCATAGGCGAAAAGTAGTAAGACTTTGTTAACATTTTTAAAATTCTTAATTTGTTCTTCAAAATCTATGTCGTCCCCCTCAAAGTAATCCCCTTTGCTCGAATACACTTGTGTCTACGCGTTCGCAATCCTCAAAACATGTGTTAAAGTCAATAGCTCAATAGTCACACCGAGCTAAATCAGGCGAAAATGGTTGTTGCGGCACGATATTGGTTGAAAATTACTGTCAACATAACATTTTTTTTTAGATATATTCAAGACTCATCCCTAGACGGAAAGCATTATTTAACAGACATTAACGCGACACTGTTTTTTTGAAAAAATGTAAATATTTTGGAACCAATCGCGTTTACACTTTTCTTATAACCGATTGATATTTCAAAATGGTTTTTACTGTTCCTTCCGATATTATAACGATGCCAGTAAGATCTCTTACTGTTTATCGTTGATTCTCAGGTACCAATTCCCTTATTGATTGATCATCAGTTGATATTGATGGCCGTCGTTGATGCCGTAACGTTTCGGCACCAGAAATTAGATTCCGCATACATAATTAAATGGAATTTCTTTGTTAAATAATTTCACTCTTCGTA